TTTTTTTTTTTTTTTTTTTTTTTTTTTTTTTTTTTTTTTTTTTTTTTTTTTTTTTTTTTTTTTTTAATTGACTTTTTGAGTGTTTAAATGTTTTTCTTAATATGCCCAAGTGCTGACTTCAAAGTGGTGTTGTTAAAGATAAGCGTATCATTTTTTGAGTAGAAATATTTTTCTCTCGTATGTCAAATGGCAGAGGAAAAAAAAAAATTTTTTTTTTTTCATTTCTTTGCTTGTCATTTTATTTATTGCAAAATCGATAGTACTTTTCATGTCCATTTACTTTAAAAAGTAGTTTCATTCCTTTTTATTTTTCTGATTTATTTTACCAGATTACATTTTCTTATTTATTTTTGTATACTTTTATTCTTTAGTATGTAGATTATGCAAGATTTAATTTTGAAGTTATTTATTGCTGTATGAAAGTAACTATAGTTATCTATTTTCTTATAAACTTATTTTGATGAATTTTCGTATTCATTTCTGAAGTCAAAATTTGGGATGTAAAATTTCTCAATATAAGTACACCTGCATAAAATCACACCATTTTTTAATTTGTTTGATATCAACTTAAAGAATGCATCTTTCTTTCTTTTTTTATTAGAAAATGGTCAATGTTGCCCATGTTTTTTTTTTGTTTTTTTTTTTTAAGTATTTGTGGACTATTAAAGAAACATGCCACAAAAAATGAAATTTTCGAAGTAGTAAATACAATATTTTTTAACTCTTCTTTTCCCCTTCTTCAAAATTGTGTTGTGTATGTATTGTACAAACCATGTCCTGATTTTTATTTTAAAACACTAAAGCTTGTGTTTCTAAATCCAGACTTGTTTATCGAGTTATTAAATGTTACACAGGTTTAAAAGTAATTTCATTACTGTAAAGATTTTTTCTAAAGGTGCCTATTTTTGATTTAAAATTTTTAAAAGCCCTTAAGAGTGCTTTTTCAGAGTTTGTAAAAAGTGTCTAATTTTCTATCTTTTAAAAAGAGATTTTTTCTATACCATATCAATTGTCGTTCTAAATTACAAAAAAATTCATGATTTTTACAATTTTCTCTGCAATATTTACCAGAAACTAGTTATTCATGGTGCGTAGCATTAAGTGCTTAAAGGTGCTTTTTTTCGATTTTTGTTTCTTTAAAAGCCCTTAAAAGTGCTTTTCTCCTTAGGTGTTTTTAAAAAGTGCTTAATTTTCCCTTTTCGAAAATGTGATTTTTTTCTTCACCATGTCCATTTTCGACACGTCTAATGCAAAAGCGTGCTTTTCCCATTATTCTATTCCACGTTTTCACAATTCATTTCAGCTTACAGTAGGTCCATAGCGTATAAAAGCGCTAATCATTTTACATGTTAGGTGAAATACTTGCAAGTCCACATGTGCGTCTTCTGAGCAGAGGTTGGTGAGATTTTAGCACTCATGTGCTGCATTTTGCAAAAAAATTCTCAATTTCAGACTTCATTTTCCACCTGCTGAGATCGAACCAAAAAATCTCTCGATCTTTTTATGGATGAGAATATAATCGAGAAAAGAGTTCTTTTGTCAGAAACTAGTTATTTTATCATGATCATGTAAGGTCTTTGAATATTATTTTGCATTTTGTTAATGTATATAGTGCTTAAAAATATTTTTGAGTGCTTAGAATGAATTTACAAGGTGCTTATTTTTTGTTGAAAGATTTGGCTACGCACCCTGTTATTTTATCATGATTATGTAAAGTTTTTGAAAATGTCTCTTTAAAGTTTTATTAAAAATGTTTTTTGAGTGCTTAAAAAGTACTTAAAGGGTGCTTTTGTTTTGTTAAAAAATCTGACTACGCATCCAGTTTTTAGAAGCAAAAAAAAATAAGCCTGAACGATTTGTTTAGTTTAAAAAGTTGTATATTATTATATTGTTTTTGTATTGAATTTCTTATAAATCAATGTTTAGATGATATTTTATTTTCTCATTACAGAATTGAAAATTCAGCCCTCCCTCAACTCCATATTGATTCCTTCTTACTTGCGTAATAGCTCTATAGCAGAGAGAAGCGAGGCATGTGACTCTGGCGCCATTGCTGCTGCCGCTGCCCCTGATGTTATTCCTGCTGAACCACAACCGTGTGGCTCATCTGCAACATGATGGCCATTCACATAACTATGTACACATGTTTATATATTGACTGACGGACGGTCAAGGTGTCACAACCTTGCAGAACATATAGTCTCTTCGCCTTGTTGACATTTATGTACATAAGATAGATTTACAATTCTTGGCGTTTTTATTTCTATTTATCCCTTCAGAGCTGTACATTTCGTCTTCCACCAGGAGTGAAATGTCTGTACTGAAAATACACTGTACAGATGCAGGATTCTCTGCCGCCATATTTTCTTTTGCTTATACAGGCCCTTGGCTAAATTATTAGACGCACTATAAGATTCTATGTAAAATCTTAGTTCCTGGGTGATACTATACAGCTTTATTGTTTTGACGCGACTGAAACCGGTTTGCATTCGTGCATCAGTTGGTTAAATCAGACGACATATAGTATAAATTCGACAAGCAAATAGATTAGATTATATGAATATGGAATATTTATTATATCAGGAATTATATTAGTAAATTATAATAATTCGATCAAATTATTAGACGCAATGTAGTTACGTTAATAATGACATGTTTTGCACGAGTTTATATGCGATACTTTTATTCTTAAACATTCGTGTAATGGGTTTTTATTCAGGAGATTTTTTGTATACTTCCTGTTTGTATTTATTTTTAACGTATTGCATTACAAATGTTAACCAATTGATACACGAACATAAGCAAGTGCAAACGTGTTTCAGCCGTGTTAAAACGATAAAGCTATAAAGTATCACCGGATAATTAAGATTTTACATGGAATCTTAGAGTGTGTCTAATAATTTTTCCGGGGACTGTATTGATTGTAAAGCATTCTGATCTTGAATATTCTTGCACCAGTTGTAATCAGATTATGAAACTGTCACAAAACTTTGTAAAAAAAAAAAAAAAGGAAAGCAACAAACTTATCAGCTTTTGTATATTTGGGGAGATTCGACTGATTCCGAGCCTTTAGTTTCTCGCCGGGTTCTTAAATTTGTATCTTCATTTTAAAAACGTGTAATTAGTATTGTGAGTAATTTTAATGAAAACTTAATTCAAGTATGTGATCTTTGGATTATAAGTAAAGCAATAGCTAGCCTAAATTAATCTCTTTTTTTTTTGCCTTGTTGTTATATTTTTTTTTTTTTTTTTNAAAATTTTAAGTCTTATTAGATTCATGAAGCCTCTTTTTAATGATAAATTATAGCATGAGATTCTTCTACAAATCTGCAATTTTTTTCATAATTACTATATATATATATATATATATATTCTCAAGACTCTTGAAAAATAAACATACTTCTGAAAATGATCTATAGTTTGTCTAAAATAAGAACTCCCCTAGACATTCGTCTGGACCTGTGGCAGTGACTATACTAACGAGGTATGAGTATTTCAAGTAGGGGTGTGCGGTCACTGTTTTGGAGTGGTTTCTGATCAGGTCGGCAAAAGAAAGGCATTCTTTCTTCGGTCTATTGTGTTAAATCCTAAAGGGAAGCTACCCTCCCTAAAATGCGCCGTTCTTGTTTCCATAGTACCAGACGGCCTCAGAGTTTATGACTGGAGGAGTTCTTATCTTAGACAAATTATACAATGCATTTATCAGAATGTAAGCAAGCTAATTAAATAAAACTTTAAATTCATCGAATGAAAAACATTAAGGTTATTTACTAGTAAATTAGACTTTCACTAGTAAAAGTTGCCACTAACAAATTTAGCCCATGAAACTGGCATTTTAACGACCTGTTTTGATTTTCAAATCTTTGTTGTTGAACTTAAATGTTTATTTATTTATTTATTTTTTTTAAATAATAATTTAATCTTTAAAGGAATCTTTTTTGCATTGTTCTAAGATAATTTTAACATTTTTATTTTCTGACCTGTTCTTCATTTTAGCAATCTCATGCTTGTAATGTTTTTATCAATTCAGTATTTTCATCAATTAACCTGGTGTATTAATTGATGACTTTATTGCGTTCAAACAAAACTTGATTTAATCATTGGCATGCGTGACTGATTTGAATCAGCTATTTTGTAACTAGATGTATTTGAAGGTTCTGTTTATAGTTATATGTCTTGTTTGAAAATTTAATTTTAAGATATTAAATTTAATGTTTTTTTTTTCTTTATAAGTCACAAATGTACTGCTGCTAATCACTGGTTTTTGGTTGGTGTGTATATTAGCTAGCTAGCTTTAAGGATGGGGTTTAATATTTAGATTGTATAAAGTAGAGATATCGAGGTGCCATATTTTTTTTAACACTTGGAAGGGGAAAAAATTAAGTACAGGGTTGCCACTCCATAAGGGAAATATGGGAAATTTAAAAAATCGCCTAAAATGAGGGATGGTGCAGGGAATTTTAAGTTTTTCCTTACAAAACTGGGAAAATACAGGTAATTTTATTTCTTATTTTGTCTTTTAAAAGTTTTGACCACTGAAAGTGATGTGGGATATTTAAGGATGATATTTCAGCTATACTAAACTATTTCATTTTTCTGAAACCAGAGTTGGCGAGGTTTACAACTGAGTGGTTTAAATTAGGGTTTAAACCGTTATGTCCAAAACCTATTTACTCAAATTGTGTCACAATTTTAAAAAAAA